TAGATCATGGAGTCCCTGGGTAGCATGAACAGTTAACATACTCAGTTGCTAATGAAAGTTTAGAGGTTCAAGTCCACCCAGAGGTGCCTTGAAACAAAGATCTAGCATTCTGCTTCCCAAAAACCCATCATTGGAAACTGTGCGGTCATCATGAGCCAGAGTCAGCTCAACAGCAATTGTCTTGTTGCTGCTGTTGCTTAAATTTGGATCACAAAGATGGGCTTCACCTTACAGCTGAGGAAGAGGGGCAGGTAGAAACCTGTCTGAGTGGGGCAAAACCAGTCCTCAGCACTAAGCAGATCTCTTCTTTTCCTTGAAAACAGAGACTTTCATCTTTCAAGCCACTGAGATCAAGATTAGAGGAAGGTTTGTTAACAATCTGAAATATGCAAATGACTCAATCTTGCTTGCTGAAATCCAAGAAGACATGAAGCATTTACTGATGAAAACCCAAGACTGCCACCTGCAGTATGGACTGCAACTCGGTGTAAACACCAAAACTCACTGCCATGTTGATGCTCACTCAGAAGCCACCCTGTAGGTCAGGGTAGAAGTGGCCCTGTGAGTTTCCGAGATGGTAACTTTTTATGGGAGCAGGAGGCCCTGTTCTCCTTCTGAGAAGTGCTGCGGGTAGTTTCAAACTGCTGAACCTGCAGTTAGCAGCCCAACACATAACCGTTATACCAGCAGGGCTCCTAACTCAATTCAAAGAAAGTCAAAATCCTCACAACTGGACCAAGAGACAACATTGTGAAAAACAGAGGAAAGACTGAAGTTACTGAGAATTTCCTTTTGCTTGGATCCACAATCAATGCTCATGGAAGCAGCAGTCAATAAATCAAATGATGGTTTGCATTGGGAGGATCTGCTGCACAAGACTTCTTTAAAATGTTCAAGAGCAAGGATTTCACTTAAGGACTAAGATGTACCTCACCCAAACCATGGTCATTTTAATCACTTCATATGCATGTGAGAGTTAGACAATGAATAAGAAAACACATAGAATTGATGCATTTAAATTATGGTGCTGGGAAAGAACACTGAAAATACAATGGAATGCCAGAAGAACAAACAAATCTGCTTTGAAGGAAATACAGAAAGAATCGTCCTTGGAATGACTGAAGGCAAGACTGGGTCTCACATATTGTGTACATGTTGTCAAGAGAGACCAAGGACTAGGAAAGGGCATCATGCTTGGTAAAAGGTCAACGAAAAAGGAGAGACCCTTAAAGAGATGGACTCACAGAGTGGCTGGACCAATGGGCTCAAAAGTAACAATTGTGAGGTTAGCATAAGACCAGTCACTATTTCTTTCAGTAGTGTATGTGGTTGCTATGGGTCAGAACCAACTTAATGGCACAACTATCAAGGAAGGCAAAACTAACCCTAATGTACTAATTCACAGTGGGTTTCAGGAAAACAAAAACGGTTCAATTTTTCTACCTATCTTTGAAATGTATAGGTGGCTATAGAGCGAGTGATGTAATGGATTATGTATTGAGCTGATAATACAAGGTCGGCAGTTTAAAACCACCAACTGCACTGAGGAAGAGGAAGCTTTTTCTGATCCTGTAAAAATTTACAGCTTCAGAAAACGAAAGGTGCAATTCTACTCTGTCCTATAGGGTTGCTATGAGTCAAAGTTGACTTAATCCCCGTGAGTTCATTAAAAAAGATAGGCCTTGCTGTCTAGATAGGACAGGCTGGATGAGCAATCTGGAGGAGAAAACAACGGGACTGACAGTTCCGGGGGGACATGGGAGAGGGGGAGGAGGGGGGAAGGGAAGAGGTGTTAACAAACCCATGGACAAGGGAACAACAATCGATCCAAATATTCGGGTCGGCTTATACTCAAGTATATACAGTACTTTCTAGTGAACCCTTGGTATCAACTCCTTAGGTTGATACTTTTGCATGGTCTGCTAATCTTACATTCAAATGGCCCTTGACACAAAAAAAGATTCCCACTCCTGGTTTAGTGTCATGATGTTGTGCGATATCCCTGTTAATTGACTGTGGTAGTTACAAAGTCTAGTGTCAACTTGAAACTATTAAAAGTGAAGAGGTAGAGTTTAGACTGTCAATCAGGTCGCAGCTTGATGACCTCATTTGGAGATGTGACAGATATAAATTACTCACTTAAGGCCAGAAACACACTCTCCCTGCTACACATTCCTGTTGACAAGCCACACGGTGCTACGCTGATGGAGCCAGAGCCCTGGAACTGGAGGAGCCAGACTCCTGCCAGTGCTGAGATGCTTCCACTGCCACTGGATCCACAAGACCTTCCACCCACTGGCCTGTGATCTTCCTGCATTTGACTTCACTGCATATGTTGCATGAGTCTGAAGAGGAAGTTATAGACTGGTATGGGGCATATGGGCTAATATTGGACTTATGGACTCATGGATATTGATCTGGACTGGGTTGTTTTAATGTACAATTTCTCTTTGATATAAAGTTCTCTTACACACATACAAGTGTCTCTGGATTTGCTTCTCTAGTCAACCTGGACTAACACATTTACCTAAAATTTTTAGTGCTTCTGTTCTACCTCCTAAGTTCATTGTATAGTGCCATGGGTCTTAAAAGGTTGCTAGCAGTCATGCAAGGAACAATCGGTCTCTATTTCCCTGGAGAGGAAGGAGAGTCAAGAATAGGTTATGTAGTGCATGCATAACTTGCACCATGAACAACTTCCTCCTTTCTCATCAGACCAGAACTAGCTAGTACCTGGTTATTATTACTAACCATTTTGGTCAACAATTCTATAAAAGAATCATGATTAAAGAAGAACAATACAGGTGGTTTCGAATTTCCATGAAATCTCATCATGGAAGCTAGATACATTCAAAACCATTGACTTAAGCCAAAATATCCTTGGAAGTCTCAAAACAGTTGTTTAACTCAATCAGTACAGAACATCTACCTTGACCAGTCTACTCTTTTGAAATCTATCAATATGGAATCAAATTAACAATGTGAATGTGCACTATTACATAGAAAACTTAGGGGACAGTGAGTTTTTGTTAAGAACTACTCAGAAATGGTGATAATGGTTGCACAACTCCAAGAATGTAATCCGTTTCACTGAACTTACATGTAGAAATTCTATTTCATGCATGCTGTTATGTGTTCAAAAAAAAAATTTTTTTTTTAATATAACTTACTCATCAATGTCTACTCATTAGAGTTGGGAAGTAAATTTACTTGGGGTTTGTTTCTTTAATCTTCCACTTTGCTATCACATATCATACTTATAAGCTCTTCACTAGACATACATATCTTATTCTGCCCTGAATTGGAGCATACCATTTTGACAGTGGGTGAAGTCTCCCTTGAGTTACTGAAGCAAAGGGGCCACTAGCTCCTTGGTAACTGATCTGAGCTAGGCCTGCTGGGCCCCACAAAACAGTCCCATTGCACTCATGGGTTCCTACTGATTTTCGACAGTAACAAGACAAGGCACAGATAAAAAGATTAGAAATGTCTAAAGTGATGTGATTGAAACATGGAATGATACATGTACTAAATCCCAATTAAAAAAAGAAATATCTAATGTAATTCTAATCTTTCCACAGATGTCAACAAAAAACTACATCCAACTATAAAACAGGCAACATTTATTTAAAAGGAAAAAAAGTCTACAACAACAGGGGAGTAAGACCAGAATAAAGTCTTAGCTCAACTACGCTTGCACAAGGTAAGGGGCTAGTGGGGAAACAGAAAAATGTTAGGGATGGGGATTGATTGATGGAAGATAGTCAATGTGGTCCTTCTAGCCATAATTCCTTATGTGGTGTATTATTTTGGACTCTAGGCCAAAATAGCTATAATCCCGTTTTTTAAGGAGTTCTCTACTATACTATTGGACAGGATTAAGCCTCTAATTTAGTAGAGTGTATGAACCAATTCAGTGTTTCCTTAGGGTTTTGGTCTGCTGAAGTCATACCTGCAAGACAGTGGTGGGATTCAAACAATAACTGGTTTTGAGGGAGTTCTCTACATATCAGAATACCACTATTGTGCAGATGAGTATTTAAAAATAGTAAGGAATGTAAATTTTTTATTTCCATATTGGGTGGCTGCCCAGCAACCCACTTTAGCAAGAACCCTGATTACAAGTGCCATTTTACCAATTGGTTCATCAACTTCAACAAAAAATTAGAACTGGCTAATCCCACCACTACTCAAAGCCATTCTGTGTATAAGCACCATCTCATAGAGCAAGACATCCCCGGATCATTGGAAGAGCCCCTCCAACATCTGTGTGAAGTGGTGGAGGCCACGACCTGAAGTGCCAGAGGTTGTGGCCTGGAGATTATGAGACAGAAAAGGAGCTAGGTGGAGACCCGAGGCCAAGGTAAGGAGAGCAGAGCCTAGACTATGGGACTGGGAAGCAGAGCAGCAAGCAGGCTTCCTGTTCCATGGAGGCAGAGGCCAAGGGGCCCCATGGCTGAGAGGCTGAAGAAAAGCGACTTGGCTTCTGTCTGAGGAAGGATGTTACTATGGACCAAATGACTGTACCCCTGTTGTATCCTGACTTGTGCTAACCCATAACAAACCCCCTTAGTCATGAGTAATTTGTAAGTTCTGTGTGACTATTGCAATGAATTATCAAACCCAAAATAGATGTAGAATAGTATAGGAAGAACAGCTGATGGAGTGTAGACGCTTGTCCGGCCCTAGCTTCATAGTGGTTGGGAAGCCAAAGGAGGTGGAACCCCAGGCTGTTTTTGCACGGAGTAAGTAATATGGTTGTAGGACTCCAAAAGTTTTCTTCATTGTTTCAGCTACTTGAATTCCACAAAGGATGAGTAAACGAAAGAGACATTAGGAGAACCTCTGGTTAGGCCATCTGGATCAGGTTAAGAGAACAGTCAGGTTTGGGGATAAAACAAAGCCTATATAAAGTTTAGAAATGAGAGAAGACTGTAAAGACCATCTTGGTCACAAAATACCATGGAGTTTGTATCTTTAATTAAGAGAGAGCGCATGCATACTGGTTCTTGCATACATTTTAATTTTAGATAAAAACATTGGAGAATTAGATACTAGAGAAGGTTCTGAGAAATACGTATGCATCCTCCCCTTGCCAACATGCTCTACCACCACAGCTGCCATGGAAGAGGCTTCAGGAGCTGTAGTACTTGGTGAGATTCTCATCTACAGGCTTCAGGATTTTCTTGTCAGGCATATTCACCACCCAGCCTGGAGCAAGACCAAAGAAGATCTGCCGTGGATCCTTTCGTGCACGGAGCATTTTGAAGAGTTCATCTTTCGTGATATCAGGCAAAATATAACCGTACTTCTTGGCGAGTTCAAGTCTTGCTTCAGGAAATTTGGCAGGATCTGCCAGATAACCACGATTTCTTGCATTGGTATAATATGTTACCAGTGTTTCAGGTGGAAGCATTCGTTTTGGAATGGGCTGTCCACGCAGAAAGAATGGGACAGGTTTGCACAAAATTTCTATTTAAAAAAAAATAACAATAATAAGAGAAATGCAAATATTGTGTAAAGACTTACAGATTTTTTTATTCATTTAAAAAGATTACCAAGAAAAGAATTCTACTTTCAAAGTAGTTTTATTAAATAGACCTATGTTAAATAAGCAGACAAAAAAAAGCTTCATTTTAAATAGTGTGCATATTCAAAGTCATAATTACCCCTGAGATTATCAATGGTTAGTGTAATTTCTAAATATAAAGAAGATCTCTATATGTGAGATCTATACTTACTAAAACACAAAACAAAAAGAGGCTTGTGACACACAGCCTGACATATGCTTAACAGAACAAGATGGGCCACCAGAACCTGAGGACATACCACGGATAGAAAATAAAACCCTAGCCCGGGTCTCACTTGTTCAAAAGTTAGGCAGAAACAGTAAGATCTATAGCTTATCACTTACTAAAGGGAATCCTCTTAACAGTAGGCAAAGAAATCTAAGTGAAGAGAACAATGCAGAATCACAGTTTGTATTTCTTTTTTAAACTTTAAAAAGTATCTAATAACGTGCTTTTTTTTAAATCAATTTATTGGGGCTCATACAATTCATCACAATACATAGATCAATTGTGTAAAGCACATCTATACATTTGTTGCCCTCATCATTCCCAAAATTCGCTTGCCTCTTGGGTTCCCCGAATCAGCTTTTTCCTTTTTTCCCCCTCCCCCTCCTTTCCTCCGCTCCCTCCCCCATGCAAATAATGTGCTCTTAAGTGCAGATATGGGGGAGGTGAGGCAGATAGAATAGGCCTATGCATGAATTATAACAGATGCCACAAGTCCTTCAGATATTTCAGAAAACTACAAACACACAATGGTATGAATACAATGACAACGTTTTTACCAAAATTAGCGATGTAACCCTAATCATAGATGGAAACACAAAGAGAAGTCACATAAAATAGTATTAAGGAATTCAAAAGCCTAAAAGTAATAATACAAACCACTTAAAAGCAGTTATAAAGTTGATCTGATTTAATCCATGCAATACACCTGAGATGTAGTCAATTAATATGGTCCTTCTAGCCATAATTCTTTGTGTGATGTATTATAATTCTAGACTCTATGCCTATGGCTATAATACCATTTTGGAGGGAGTTCTTGGCTAATGGGTGGGATAATCAACACCAAACCAAACCAAATTCATTGACATGAAGTGAATTCCAACTCATGGCAGCCTTCTAGGACACAGTAGAACCACCCCTGTGGGTTTCCAAGACTGTATCTCTTTATGGAAGTAGAAATCCCATCTTTCTCCTGTAGTGCGCCTGGTGTTTTGAACTGCTGACCTTGCCATTAGCAATCCAACTCATAAGCACTACACCACCAGGGCTCCAATGGGCAGGATAAAAGTGAGATTCAATCCTGACTTTAGTAGGTGGTGTGGGACGAAACACACGACCTTCCTCTAGTTCTTTAATGCTTCTCCCCATCCCCCCACCCCCAAATCATGACTCCAATTCTATCTTACAAACCTGGCTAGAACAGTACATGAATACTGGTACAGATAAGAGCTCACAATACAGGGAATCCAGGACAGATAAACCCCTCAATACCAGTCAGAGGAGCAGCAATACTAGGAGGGTAAGGGAAGTGGGGGAGGGGGAGGAAAGAGGAACCAATCACAATAATCAACATATGCCCCCTCCCCCATGGACGGACAGCAGAAAAGTGGGTGAAAGGAACCAGTGGTCAGTGTAAGACATGAAGAAAATAATAATTTATAAATTAACAAGGGGACGTGGGGGGAGGGGGGAACTAGGAGCTGATACCAAGGGCTCAAGTAGAAAGAAAATGTTCTGAAAAAGATGATGACAACATATGTATAGATATATTTGACACCATGGATATATGTATGGATTGTGATAAGAACTGTAAGAGCACCCAATACAATAAAATATTTTTTTAAAAGGAGAAAGTGTGAACTAAGCCACACCCTTGGGCGTAGGGTCTGCTGAAAGACAACAATGACATCGTTATCAAAGTCAACTCTCTACAAACAAGAGCATTCTCAGACACAGAGAAACATACCGGAGTACCTTCAAGACCTCCGTCTAAAGTGGCAGAGGCCAGCAACAGAGGCACCAAAGGCTGTAGCGCAAGTAGCGCAACAAGTGGGCTTCCTGGACCACAGAGGCAGAAGCCAAGGGGCCATGTGGCCGAAAAGCTGAGGAATGGAGAAAGACTTGGCTGCTGACTAAGGAGAAGGGTTGCTTTGGACCAATGACTGTATCCCTACTTTTTACTGATCCTGACTTACGGTAATTTATTAACTTCTCTCCACCACTTAGCTGTCAGTTTATCATATTGTGATGTGTGCTGCTGTGATGTTCTGTCACTAGGACTTCAAAGACCAGCAGGGTCACCCAAAGTGAACATGTTTCGGCAGAGCTTCCAGACTAATAAAAGACTACAAAGAAGGAATAGGCAGATCACTACAGGGAATTAGTCACTGAAAACCCCATGGATAGCTATGAAACACCCTAAGTTACTGAAAACCTAATGAACAGAAGCAGAACCACGTCAGAGATAGTGCTAGGCTTTTTACGAAGATGGCGCCGAAGGCAAAGAAGAAAGCACCTGCCCTGCCCAAAACAGAAGCCAAAGCAAAGGCTTTAAAGGCCAAGAAGTCCCTGTTGAAAGGCATCCACAGCCACACACACAAAAGATCTGCACGTCACCCACCTTCCAGCGGCCCAAGACCCTGAGACTAAGAAGGCAGCCCAAATCCTCTCGGAAGAGCGCCCCCAGGAGAAACAAGCTTGAGCACGATGTCATCAAGTTCCCCTTGGCCATGGAGTCAGCTGTGAAAAAGACTGAAGATAACAGCACACTTGTGTTCATTGGGGATGTCAAGGCCAACAAGCACCAGATCAAACAGGCTGTGTCTTCACATGACAATGGCTCTATGACATTGATGTAGCCAAAGTCAGCACCTTGATCAGGCCTAATGGTGCAAAGAAGGCATGTTTCAACTGGCTCCTGACTATGATGCTGTATTAGTCTGGGTACCTTAGAGAAACAAATCCATAGAAACTCATGTATAAGACAGTTTTTTTTAGGTTTTTTTTGACAGAGTTTTATATAAAGGTTAAGTGAGCATCAAGAAAACATCCCAACCCAGTGCTACCCAAGCCCACAAGTCCAACATTAACCAATTAACCTATATGTCCAACAGCAATCCAGAAAGTCCTCCTCCATCTCACAAAGCAGACGCAATGATGCAGACTGCAGGAAGAAAGCTGAGTAAGTGAAAGTGTAAGCATCTCAGCGCTGGCAGGGGTCTCCACATGGCTGCTCCAGCACCCAGGGCTGCATCGGGGTAGGTTCATGTGGCTTCTCCTGGGGGGATGTCTTGCAGGAAGTCAGCCTTGCAAACTGAAGCTGGAAACTGCTAAGGCAGCTGCACCCTGGTCCGGCCATCACAAAGCATGAGACCCCAGAACTAGAAAGGTGAGGCTCACCAAGCCATTTATCTCTCCGCCCTTCAATTAACCCCACGTGTGTTTATCAGCCAGGTTGGCACAATAAACTAACTCAGACGCTTTAGATGTTGCCAACAAAATCGGAATCATCTAAACTAGGTCTAGCTGGCTAATGTTAAATATAAATTTCTTCAATACAAAAAAAAAGAAATAGTGCCAGAAGGCGAGGCTCTCACATCAGAAGACACTCCAAAAATGTGACTGAGGAAGAGCAGCCTTGTCAAAGTAAAGTCGACTATAATGATGCGGATGGAGTAAAGCCTTTTGGGAGTAAAGTTTTCAGGAGCTTCATTTGCTGATGGGGCATGACTCAAACTGAGAAGAAACAGCAGCAAACATCTATTAACAATCTGAACTTGAAATGTATAGTTATGAATCTAGGAATAACAGAAGTTGTAAAAAACGAAATGGAACACTTAGAGATCAACATTCTAGGCTTTAGTGAGCTGAAATGGACTTATTTTGGCCATTATGAATCAGAAAATCCTACCGTTTACAATGCTGGGAATGATAAGATACAAGAGGAACGGTGTTGTATTCATCAGAAAGACATTCCAAGATCTATATTAAATTACAATGCTGTCTGTGACAGGATGTTATATGTCCGCATACAAGAATGTCAATACAACTACTATTCAAATTTATGCAACTACTAAAGTGAGTAATGCAGAAATCTAAGAATTCTAGCAGCATCTTTAGTCTAAAATTGATCAAACATGTAATCAAAATGCATTAATAATTATTGGCAAATGGAATGCAACAGTTGGAAACAAAGAGGAAGAAGCATCAGCTAGAAAATATGGCCTTAATGATAGCAAAGAAAGAAGACAGAATTTTACAAGACCAACTTCTTTAGGAAGAACACTCTCAGCATATCTTCATCTGAAAGAACTCAAGAAAACATTGACGCCTTGAGTTTCGATACTGAAAGATTCTAGGGGCAAAACACTGAATGATGCAGGAAGCATCAAAAGTAGATAGAAAGATTACACACAGTCACTGTACCAAAAAGAACCCAGTCGACATCCCACTATTTCCGAAAGTACCATATGAGCAAGAACCAATGGTAATGGAAGGAGTTCACGCTGCATTGAAGCACTGGACTTTACAAGGCTCAAGGAATTAATGAGACACCACCTGGCCAAGTGACTGGAAGAAATTCATATCTGTACCCATTCAAAAGAAATGTGACCCAACAGAATGCTCAAATTATAGAAAAATACCAGTGATATCAAATGTAACTAAGATTTTACTGAAGATCAACCAAAAACAGTTGCAACAATACATTGACAAGAAGATCTTAGAGGTGCAGGCCTGATTCAGAAGAGGCTGTGGAACAGGGGACATCACTACAGTTGTCAGATGGAGCTTGCCTGAAAGGAGAGAATACCAGAAAGATGTTTACTTGTGTTTCATTGATTATGCCACAGCATTCAACTGTGTGAACCGTAACAAACTAAGGAGAACCTTTAGAGGAATGGGAAATCCAGAACATTTCATTGTGCTCCTTTGAAACTTATACATGGGTCAAGATGCTGTGTGTGAACAAAACAAGGGAATACTGCACGTTTTAAAATCAGCAAAGATATACAAGATTGCATCCTCTCGCCATCCTTATTCAGTATGTGTGCTGAGTAAATAATCAGAGACTCTGGCTTAGATGAAGAATGTGGCATCAGGTCTGGAGGAAGGCTTATTAACAACCTGTGATATGCAGATGACACAACCTTGCTTGCTGAAATTGAGGAAGACTTGAAGCACTTGCTGATAGACAAAGGACTGCAGCCTTCAGTATGGATAGCAACTCAATGTTAAGGAAGATCAAAGCATTCACAACTGGACTAAGGTCACATCATGACAAATGGAGAAAAGGGTGAAGTTGTCAAGGATGTTGTCTTGCTTGGATCCACAATCAATGCTCATGAAAGCAGCACTGGTGAGAGCAAAAGACACATTGTATTAGGTAAATTTTCTGCAGAAGACATCTTAGAACTATTGAAAGTAAGAATGTTACTTTGAGGACTAAGGTGCTCCTGATCCAAGTCAAGGTATTTTCAATTGGTTCATATGCATGTAAAAGTTGGACATTGAATAAAAAAAAAGACTAAAGAAGAATCAATGCATTTAAATTGTAGTGCTGGAGAAGAATACTCAATGTACCATGGACTGCTAAAAGGACAAACCAATCTGTCTTGGAAGAAACATGGCCAGAGCTTTCCTTAAAGGCAAAGATAACAAGACTTCATCTTACATATATTAGACACGTTGCCAGGAGAGACCAGACCCTTGGAGAAGGGCAGCATGCTGGGTAAAGCATAGGAGCAGCAAAAAGGAGGGAGACCCCCAACCAGATGGACTGACACAGTGGCTGCCCACAAGGGGCTGCAGCCTAAGCACAATGGTGAGGACGGAGCAGGACCGGGCAGTGTTCTGTGTTCTGTTCTGTTGTGCGTAAGGTCGCCATGGGTCAGAACCAACTCGATGGCACTAACAACATATTCCCTTTCATATGCTTATTTTAAAAGCGCAATTTGGTCACGAAATGTTTAACTATTTGAATATTTTAAAAGGAGCTCTGTGGCACTGTGGGTTAGGCTTTGGACCGCTAACAGCAAGGTTGGTTGTTCAAATCCACCAACCACAACAGGGGAGCAAGATGTGGCTGTCCCCATCATGATTTACAGACTTGGAACCCCTATAAAGCGTTGCTATGAGTTAGAACGGACTTGATGACAGTGGTTTTGGTGCTTGGTATTTGCACATAAAACCACCAAAGAACCTTTGCGAAAGCGTTTCATCCACAAGCCACATTGTGTTTGAATCTTTGCACTTTTAAAAATTCAGTTCATTCATTCAACAACTTTTCAGTGAGCTTCTAGCAAGTATCAAGCACTGACGATGCAGCAGGGAACAAACAAATCTCCAAATTACGAGGTTAGAGCAAATGAAAGTGAAACAAATTTATACTTGTCAGCTAGGGATAACTTTAGAGGGCAGACTTTACACAGGGCAAGGTCATAATAAGTGACTACGTATGTGATACCTGTGTTCATGTGTGTGTATGCACGGTGTTTACAAGTAGATGCTGTGTGTATATACAGTACGTGTGTGGTATCCAAGCATGATTTTGTATGTGTTCATTGTTATGTGGTATGTATTGGTCATGTGTGTGATATTCATGTGTGGAATTCTCACCTAGGTATATGATGTTTGTATATGTGATGTACCTGTATAGCATTATTGTATGTATGCGTGGTGTCGCTGTGTGTTGTATTCATATATGTGCAGTTTTTTACTTAGAATAGGCAGGAAAGAGTTCGCTAAAAGGGTAAGTGAAGTAGAGACCTGTCTTCTGTCTCATACTTACGCTCTCATTTTCCTCTAGGTTCTATAATTCACTGCAATGGCCACAAAGACCTCAGGTAATATTCCCAATTATAGGGGCTTATCAAGGATTGACAAAGCCCTGGAAAGGTAGTTATGAGGTTGACTGCTAACGCCATAGTTGGTGGTTCTAAACCACCATGGGAGAAAGACAAAGGCTTTCTACTCTAGTAAAGTTACAGCTCGGAAACCCAGAGGGGCAGTTCCACCCTGTCCTCTAGGGTGCTATAACTCGAATTGACTTGATGGAGTGATTAGGGGAGTTAATAGGCAACAAAGTCGAGGTCTGAAAACATTAAGGATATAGTCAGTGGTCCTCAGCAACACCTCTCCTCAGCCAACAATCAAGTCTTTTTCTTCCTCTTTCTCTCAGCAATGTGGTCCCTTGGTTTCTGCTCCCATGGGCCAAGAAGCCAGCCTGCTCCTCTGCGTGATAGTCTGATAGTCTCAGCACTCACGGTCTCCTTGCCTTGGTCTCTGGTCTCAGCTGCAAACACTTCAGACAGAGCTCTCAAAGGGGCTACATAGGGGCTCTTCTTCCAATGGTCCTGGGACTTCTCTCTCTGCCCGATGGCTCTTATACACAGAGAAATGGTTCTGACCGAGGGATAGTTTTTGTCTTTCAGCAGACCATACCCCTGAAGAAAGTGTGTGACTTGTGGTAGTTACATAATCTGTTGTCAATTTGAGAGGATTACGAGTGAAGGGGTGGAGTCTGGCCTGTCAATCAAGATATAACTAACAAGGCTTCTGTGGGCATCGCCTTCTCCAGAGAATTCTGGGAACTCCTGTATTTTCCTCCTTGGAGGCAAGAGACTCTTTTTTCTCTCAGTTCACTACGTGAGAGACTGACAAGACACATGGCACTAAGCCCTGGGAGCTGGAGAAGCCACATAGAAACCCCTGCCAGTGCTGAATTGCTTACAATGCCACTGGATCCACAAGACTTCCAACCCACTGGCCTGTGATCCTCCTGCATTCTGCATCATTGCATGTATTTCGTGAGTCTGAAGAGGACTTTATAGATTGGTATCAGACATATGGGCTAAGACTGGACTTATGGACTTGATCTGGTCTGGGCTGGGACGTTTTCTCAATATTCAATTGCTCTTATATATAAACCTCTTTCTTATATGAGTGTCCACGAATTTGTTTCTCTAGTCTATCCAGACTAACACACTTGATTTTCACCCTCTACTAAAGTCAAGTCTTAATCCCATCTCAATTCTATTCATTAGAGAATATACTCCAAAATGGAATTACAGCCCGAGGCACACACTCCAGAATTATAATGTATCACATAAGGAATTATGGCTAGATATGGCCATTTTAATTGACTAAATCTCAAGACCTAAAGAGCAGGACTTACAACCATAAGAATTCTAGATAGGAGGGCCCTCTAGGCAGTGAGAAAAGTATAGGCAAAGATCTGAAGTGGAGTACAGTAAATGTTGAGGGAGGCCAGGGCAAGCTGCCAGCGATGGACCTGCACCAGCAGAGAGTATAGAAGGAGAGGTTAGAGGAAGCTCAGATCACACACAACCTTGTAGGCCCAAGTGGACAGGTACTGTCGGCAGTTTTATGTAACCGAGTGACAGGATAACCTTTGATGGGAACACTGCTATTCCATTACACTGTACGCAGAAACAAAGAGCTCAGACTGAAGGCCGGTAATCCACATGAGAGAGATTTGATGGTCAGACCAGATTGGTAGTAGATGTGATCAAGAGCAACTGGATTCTGGACGAACAGGATTTATTAAGGTATGAAGTTAAGAGAAGAATAAAGATGACTCCAAATTTTTTACCAAAAATGAAAAAACTTGAGTTACAATATACCTAGATGGGGAAGACTACAAAAATAGCAGGCCGAGATATAAAGAAAAATCAGAAGTTCAGACATGCGAAGTCTGTAAACATACACTAGACATTCCAGTGGAGGAGCTCAGAGTCTTACTGCTTTGTCACATCTATCAGTTATGAGCTTTATATCATAATGACCCAAGTGATAGATGCACATCAAACAATAACTACCAACATTAACTACTTAATAACTAATTAGAAAGCAGTAGCCAAGATGAGACAGGGAGGGAGAAAAGCTTACCCAGACTCCTGGGATCATAGAAGGCTGTAGTAACAACACCACCATTTTTTTCAATTGCAGCAATGGCAAGTTCTGAAGCCAACTGCACTTCAATATTCACTTTGGCCGTGAAGTTATCAGCACCCTGTAAAATGTCAACACAAAGTCTATTAGTAGATAGCTTAGTTAAAAGTAAATTAATTTTGGGGGAAAAAAAGTAAATTAATTCTCCAAGCTTCCTTTCTCTTCCAAAGTGCCTACAGTGTAAAAATAATTCTTACTTTAAATACCTCCTTCTATCAAATCTTTTAAATTTAGGGAACCCCATCTTACCCATTTCATTCCCTCCAAGTAGGGAGGAGTTTACTGTCATTTATTTATTTTGTGGACACTAATACTAGCAGCTCATCCAAGTGCTTCGTAAACTGTTGTGTCCTCCTAACAGCCCTTCAACAAGTCTTACTGGTATCCCAACTTTATACCTAGGAACAGTGACGCACAGAGAGGATAAGCAGCATACCTGAGATCAAGCAGCAAGGATTGTAGGCCAGGGAGTTGGGTCACAGTGTCTGTGTACTTAACTGTAACACTATATACTTTGTGGTATAGATAAAAACTAATCCTGTTCTTCATGCTTTTGGGTTCTGACTATAGCAACCTTAAAGAATAAAACACTACTTAGTCCTTGCCAATCTCAAAATTGTTGCTATGTTTAAGCCCATTGGTGTAGCCTTTATGTCGACCCATTTCATTAAAGGCCTACCTCAAGTTTGAAGACCCCTCTGCTTTTGCCAAGCATGTCATTCTCATCCTGAGAACATGTACAAGTTACACAAAACAAGTCTGATTTAATCTCTAATCCTCCAAACTAATGAGCTTTGTGGTTCTATTTCTTCCAACACAGATTTTTTCATTCTAATAGCAATCAATGCTGTGTTTAATATTCTTCACCAACAACCTAATTGGGAGGCATCTTCAGTTGTCCTTATTCACTGTCCAGTTTTCACATGGTTATGAGGTGAATGAAAATACCATGGCTTGGGTCAGCCACATCTTAGTATGCAAAGGGTCATCTTTGCTTTTTCATAAAGCTAGCTGGTGCAACAGATTTACCCAATGCAGCCATTTCCTGACTGCTTTTCCATGGGTGATAGTTTTGGATCCAAGTAAAATTAAATCCTTGTGTATGTCCCACTTTCCTCTGTACCATGATGTTACATATTGGTCCAGCTGTGAGGATTTCAGGGGGGTGAACGGGGTATGGGAGGGTAAAGTGTAATCCATGGAGAAGGCTGGTGTCTTTGATCTTCATCAGTAAATGCTTCAAGTCCTCTTGGTTTTCAGCAAGAAAGGTGTGTTATCTGTGTACTGCAGGTTGTTAAGCCTTCCAGTTTCTTGGATAGACTCAGCATACAGACTGAATGAGCATAGTGGAAATGCTTGCATACCACCTTAATGCACACTTTTTCTGAATTTAAATCACTGTTCCCCTATTGTTTAGAAAACTGCTTCTTGTTCTATGCAGATTCTACATAAGCACAAATTAAGTCTTCTGGAATTTCTATTCTTCACATTATTTTTCATCATTTGAAATCCACAGTTGGATACTTTTGCACATTCAATGAAACACTGATAAATATCTTTCTGGTATTCTCTGCTTTCAGCCAAGATCCATTTGACATCAGCAGTGATAGCCCTCATTGAACATCCTCTACTGAATCTAGCTTGAATTTCTGGCAGTTCTTTAAAAATTTACTGCCCCACTCATTTTTAAATTCACTTCCACAAAATTTAACAGAGCTATTAATGGTAGTGTTTTACAATTTCTGCATTCGGCTGGGCCACCTTTCTTTGAAAAGGGGCAAATATAGATCTCTTCCAGTCAGTTGCCCAGGTAGCTTTCTTCAAAATGTCTTGGCATAGACAAGTAAGACACTCAAGAGCTGGATGTTTGTTAAACATCTCAACTGGTATTTTGTCAATTCCTGAATCCTGTTTTCTGCTGATTTCAGTGCTGCTTAGACTTCTTTAATACCACTGGTTCTAGACCATATGATAATTCCTTAAATGGTTGCAAATCAGGCAATTATTTTTGGTAAAATGAGTTTGTATATTTTTTTCAATTTTCTTTTGATGTTACCTGCATCATTCAACATTACCCATAGAATCCTTCAATATTGCAAATTGAGGCTTGAAATTGTTCTTCAGCTCTTCCAGCTTAAGAAATGTCAAGCATGTTCTTTCCTTTAGGTTTTCTAACTCCAAGATTTTGTACATTTAATTATAATACTTTGTCTTCTTAAGGTGTCCTCTGAAATCTACTTACGTAGTTCTTTTACTTCATCATTTCTTCCTTTTGCTTTCCTTCTCCACTTTCTAGAGCAGGGGTCTTGACCTTCCTAATGCCACTACCCTTTAATACAGTTCCTCATGTTGTGGTGACACCTCCAACCATAAAATTATTTTCACTGCTTCTTCATGACTGTCATTTTGCTACTGTTATGAATCAGGCGACCTCTGTGAAAGGGTCGTTGGACCCCCAAAGGAGTCGTGACCCACAGGTTGAGAACCACTGTTCGAGTGGGAGTTTGAGTTTCTTTTGACATCCATTTTAGTCTTATCTTTTTAATGAACTTTTGATTAATTCAGATGATATCCTTGAAGTAATACACAACTTGTCTAGTCTTTAGTTACTAGTGTTCAATACATCAAATCTATTATTGAGATAGTATCTAAATACAGATGGGATATACTCAAGGTCATATTATGGCTCTGAAGAGCTGGTTTTAATTTTCAGCTTCAACTTGAACTGCCTATGAGCAATTGATGGTCTGGTTCTGCAGTCGGTCCCTCACTTTATTCCTACTGACAATATCAAGATTCTGCATTGTCTCTTTACAGAAAAAAGTAATTTGATATATGTATATTCCATCAGATGAGGCCTACCATTTATGTGGTTGAAAAGGGTATTTGCAACGAAGAAGTTGTTGGCATTGCAAAATTCTATCACGTTATCTCTAGTGTTGTTTCTATTGCCAATGCCTAATTGTCCAACTTCCGGTCTTTTTTTGGTTTTCAAGTTTCATATTCTAATCACCAATAATTATCAATGCATCATGATTTGATGTTTGATCAATTTCAGATAGCAGAAGTTAGTAAACATCTTCCAACATGTTCATCTTTGTCATTAGTGGTTGGTGCATAAATTGGAATGAGTCTGGTTAAGTGGTCTCCTCATAGGCATTTGGATAATATCCTTTCACTAAGAGCATACTTTAGAATAAATTTTAAAATGTTTTTAACAAATAATGTGACTCTTCAATTTGTAATTCCTAACATAAGAGACTATATGACTCTAATTCAAAATGGCCAATCTCAGTCTATTTCAGCTCACTAATGTCTAGGATAATGATCTTTACACATTCCACTTCATTTTCGACAACTTCTAATTTTCCTATATTCATACTTCAGACAATCCAATTCCAGTTATTAATGCGTATGTTCAGCTACTTTTCATTTTGACTCATGCCTCATCAGCAAGGAAAGTCCTGAAGGCTCTGCTCCATCCACCTCATTCAGCAGACTCGGCTTTGAGGGGGCAGTTCTTCTCCAGTTACACTTTGAGCATCTTCCAACCTGAAAGGCTCATATTCTGGCAGTCTACTAGACAATGTTCTGCTGCTATTCAGTGGATAACTTCTCAGAAGTCGTCGGTCTATCATTCTTCTTAGTCTGCCTTCATCTGGAAGCACCCCGAAACCTACCTATCATGGGTGACCCTGCTAGTACTGGAGATACTGGTAGCATAACTTCCAGCATCACGGCGGCACACAAAGCACTACAGTATGATAAACTGACAGATGAATCATGGCAAAAACTAATCTTACTTATTCCTAAACAGGAGGTCATCCCTAAACAAGAAGCTAACAAAGGAAAAAGAGTGGATGGAGCTAGAGAAAGGAATAATAGACTACCAGATAATTAATTATATCTGAGATTTGGAGAGGTCACCTCCCTTAGGGTAGAGAAGGAAGAAGTAGTCATCAGAAATTCACACTGCATTCATTGTTAACTATATTATAAACTTTAGATTGACAAAAAGTAAGCCTTTCTCTACAACAATCAATGCTACAAGACATAGACTCAAACTTTTAAAGATCTTACTTTGGTCACATTAGTTAGGATGTGGTTTTGTTGTGACTGAAACAAACGAGGTCTAAACAATTGGTACTTTTGAATCAATAAAATAAGAGTGTTGCCACATTAGCTATTATTCTTAATAATTATTCTCAAAATACCCATTTATAAACTATCAAGGGCTCATGTGGGAGGGGGGAGCGGGGAGGGAGGGGAAAAATGAGGACCTAATGTCGGGGGTTTAAATGGAGAG